GACCCTGAGATGATAACCTGAGCTGAAATCAAGAACTGGATGTTTAACCCAATGAGCCACCCATGCACCCCCACTGTATTTATTTTTTATTGTACTCTCTTGAGGCATTGATGAAGGTGTTTTGCAATGACCTGAAAATCCAAAGATGCCAGACCAGAAAAGCCCTGATAGCAACAGAATGCCTAGAAGATGACATTCCATGTGTCCCCTTCCCTGGCCATGACTATGGGATGAACATATACTGACCTCCACCCATGATGACATGTTGCCTGCTGTCTTGTACACACACCCCTGAATCTCTCCTCATAATAAAACTCTAGGTGTCCATCTTGTAGGCAGAGAGGTCAGCTGTTAAGGTTTAAGCCTGCCACCTTCCCCAGCTGCCAGGACTCCAAATAAATTTCTCCCTTTCTCTTTTCCAAACCTCTGCCTCTTGAGTTTTTGGCTTCTCTTGTGATGAGTTTACCCAAGTTTGTTGGCAAACCCAGCCAGGAGCTATGCTTTAAATTTGTCCAGCCCTCTCTGGCTTCCCTAGGGTGAAGGAGTTGGCTGCCACAGTGACCCAAGTTTCACCCATTTGTTTCCTGAGTTAACAGCTGTGGTAAATAGGTAGATTGATAGATTTGGTAACAGAACAGCCTAGAAACAATGATTAATTCATTAGTGAGAAGAACCTATTGCATCTAGGTCTGAGTCAGATAATACATAAAATGAACATGAATATCTTGGTATACTGTAAAGCAAAGAAGCTATCGAAGATTACTGAAGTTATGTCAAAAGGTCAGAAACTAATCTGAAGAGATTTCACTCATCAAAGATAGAATAATTTGAGTATCAATAAAAATACTAACTATAACAGATTAAACACATTAAATATGTTTTTAAGCTCATGATTTAGATATTTAGACATTTAAGTAAACATATTTGGAAAAAAGTCCTTATTAGTCAACTTTAAAGGATACTAGAAAGCAAACACATTATATTGAAACTAGTAAATAAAGACACCCCTGCCCAAAAATTTAACATGCCTTTCTTATACGAATCATAATTCAGAAATAGAATGAGATTATTATCAATTAGCAAACTCTAAAGAAATAATGGATCTAGGCAATGATCATCAATGGTTGTTAACATCACAAAAAAGATAACTGATAATCAAGTGCTATCTGATGAAAGCACAGGAAGAATTCTTGTGGAAAACATTTGGTTTAAGGCAAGTCAAGCATTCCAGATAGAGTAACCAATTGGCAGGAAATCTGAGTAATGTATTACACAATATTATTCCATGTGGGTATAATCAGTAAAATCCAGATTGTGGGATATTCTACTTAAAAGAATAAATTATAAGGGGGTGCATGGGTGGCTCATTCAGTTAAGTGTCTGCCTTCAGCTCAGGTCATGATCCCAGGGTCCTGATATGGAGCCCTTTGTCGGTCTCTCTGCTCAGTGGGGAGTCGGCTTCTCCCTCTCCCTCTGCTGTTCCCCTACTTGTGCTCTCTTGCTTTGTCAAATAAATAAAATTTTAAAAAGAAAAAGAATGAATTATAAGAAAAAAAGGAAGAGGGAACAAAGAGACTAGGAGATTTAAGAGACATACGAACTAAATGGAATATGTTAACTTTGTTTGGATACTGAATCATACCAATTATCTCAGAAAAAAAAAAAAACTGAGGCAGAGAAATGTGAACAGTGGCAAGATATTTGATGATACCATGGAATTACTGCAAGCATTTAAAAGATGTGAAAATAGTATTGTGAACATACTTTTTAAAAATATTCTCTATCTTTTAAAGATATAAGTAGTGAAATATCTGGGATTCACATGAAAATAATTCAGTGGGAGGTGAAAAGGGAAGTAAATGGGGGCGGGGGGTTATAGTATAACAAAAGTGGCCACAGTTGACAACTGTTGTAATTGCTAAATGGCCTGAGTTTTCATAGTACTTTTCCTACTTTTGTGTATGTTATAAATTTTCAATCATAAAATGGAGAAAAAAGGGGGGGAAAATTGGAAGTCTTTTTTTGTTAAACTTCCCAATAACCTCTCTTTTTATACCTCCACTTCCCTTATATAGGTGCCTTGAATCTAGCAATGTTTTAAAACAGTATTTAATAACTACATTGGATTTATCCCAGGAATACAGAGATAATCCAACATCCAAAAAGTTTTTTATCATATTAAAGTGTGAAAAATTCTATAGCTATTTTAATAGATGCTCTACAACCATTTAATAAAACCCTATACCCATCCTTGATTAAAAACAAAACAAAAATCTACAATACAGTTAAATTTACCCAACAATAAAGGAAGAATGGGTGTACTAAATTTAACAAATGTAATTTGGCGTAACTACTTTAATTAAGAATGGCTACTGACTAAATTAAAAAAAAATGTTTTAAATGTGAAATGTGAAATTTTTGTCTCTTTTTGTGTATGTGTATGTATGTGGTTACTAAGTTTTTTTCTTTTTTTTTCAAGTTTGTGGTTTTTTCTTTTTTAAGTAATTTCTACACCCAATGTGGGACTGAAACTCAAGACCCCAAGATCAGGAGTAGCATGCTCAACTGACTAAGCCACCCAAGCACCCCTTAATTCAAGGCTCAGTTGGTAAACCATCAGACTTGATTTTGGCTTGGGTTATGATTTCAAGGTCCTGAGATTAAGCCCAGTGCAGGGCTCTGTGCTCAGTGGGGGAGTCTGCTCGGGATTCTCCCTCTCCTTCTGTCCACCCCAGCCCCCGTGCTCTGTCTCGCTAAAATAAATAAATAAATCTTTAAAAAATTTTAATTCAGAGGCGCCTGGGTGGTTCAGATGGTTGGGTGTCTGCCTTCAACTCAGGTAGTGATCACAGGGTCCTGGTATCAAGCCCTCATCAGGCTCCTTGCTTGGCAGGGAGCCTCCTTCTCCCTCTGTACTCCCCCTGCTTGTGCTCCCGCTCTCTCTCTGACAAATAAATACGATCTTTAAAAAAAAAAAAAAAAAAAAGGTAATTTACACAAAATAATCTAACAAACACAAGGAATAATCAATGCCCAACACAAAATTAAATCTGGTTAATTTTACATTACCAGAAAACACCTAAAGAAAACATGTAAAAGAAAAGTCAGTCTGAAACAGAAGAAAATGATTTATTAAATCAAATCTTGGCCACACCTATTCAAGAAGCATCCAAGGCTTTGCAATAGATGTGTATGTAGCTCCTATGGAGATGGATAAATTACATTTCAGAGCCTGGTGCCATTAAACATTCAGAATCATCCAAATAAGTAATAGCACAGATTCCATAATCAATAAGCCATATTTACATTACATTATAATTTATTTTTTTTAGGTAGAATGTTTCTTAGGAAAGTACTAACTACTCAGTACTCAGATTCATTTGTTTCTCATGATGTTTTTAGTAGTAGCATTCTATTTATACACAAATTTCTAGTGAATCTGTTAAGTACAAGCCCATCTCTATAAGACGACCCATTTTTGGTAAAAACAAAAATATGGAGTCTGCAAAGCCAAGGCCAAGATCCAAGAACTCAGTAGCAACTTTACCAAGGAATACACCACCTAGGGAATTTTACTGGCAGGAAACAGCTAGTCTTTGATTATACCAAATCTTACCATGATTTTTCTTTTTTCAAAATTCAGCATATACGAAATATTGACAACTCATGTATATCTGGGAAGACATTGACTAATTTATGGATAATAGATTAATAGAAAAAAGTTATGAAACAATTAAAATTACTTTCAACCAACAACAAAAAAGATGTTATGTATCTATGGTTTGGAACTTCCCAGCAACCAAAAGATGTCACATACAGAATACCATTCATTGCTCAGACATGGTGAAACTATATACAAAGGTATACCAGGCAAATGAAAACAAAACATAGAAAAGGCAAAAATCTTATTATTAGTCTAGGTAGAATTTGGATCAAAAAGCAATAAAAGCCCAAGATGAGAATTCATAATGCTAGAAAGTACAATTCTTTTTTTTCCCCTCTTCTTAAAGATTTTATTCATTTATTTGAGATAGAGAATGAGAGAGAACAGGAGCAGGGGAGCAGAGGGAGAGACAGGAGTAGGCTTCCTACTGAGCAGGGAGCCCAAAGCGGGACTCGATCCTATGACCCTGAGATCATGACCCCAGCTGAAGGCAGATGCTTAAGAGACTGAGCCATCCCGGCACCCCAGTGATGTTGAATCTTTTTATTCAGGAACTTGTTATAAACTTCATTTGCACAATTTTTTAGTATTCTTCAGTAATGGTTTATCCTTTTATGCTTTTATTATTAAATACATAGCAAGAAAATATAACACAATGGGGAAAACACACATTTATCTTCTATCTGGTTATTATTTATATAAATTTATATTATTTATATAAATATTATAATTTTCATGTAATAATTTTGTATCTTGCTACTTATCTGTACAGGTATTTCCATTGATATTCTTATATTTTCTTAATATACAAGCATTTAATCTGCAAAAGGTAACAGATTTATCCCCATCTTTCCAATTTTCAGAACTCCACTTCCTCTATTTTTTCTTTTTAAGATTTTTACTTATTTATTTGACAGACAGAGATCACAAATAGGCAGAGAGGCAGGCAGAGAGAGAGGAGGAAGCAGGCTCCCTGCTGAGCAGAGAGCCCGATACGGGGCTCAATCCCAGGACCCTGAGATCATGACCTGAGCTGAAGGCAGAGGCTTAACCCACTGAGCCACCCAGGTGCCCCTCCACTTCCTCTATTTTTATTAGCACATTCAGTACAAAGTTAAATTAACAGTGGTAAGATACAGCTATTTTGTTTCTGATTTATTAGAGATGATGCTTTTAATGTTTCTCAAGCATAATATAAAACCATTTAAATAATAATTCTCTAATGCTTATGTAATTAAAACCCAGATTACCCAAGTCAGTTATTACTAACATACCTGGTTTTATGCACAAAAAATCATTACCTTTAACATTTTAATCATTCCTCCTTCCAACTTACTTTATAGTATCTGCAAAGCTGACTCGACGAGAGCTTTTCTTATTTCTCAAAGCATTAGATTCCTAAGGGCAGAGAGTACATGGTATAATTTTCTTTTTTAATTCAAGTCAGTTAACATAGAGTGTATTGTTAGTTTCAGGGTAGAGTTTAGTGATTATCAGTAGCATATAACACCCAGTGCTTATTATTATTATTATTATTATATCAAGTGCTCCTTATTGCCTCTCACCAATCACTGCATTCCCCCCAATACCTCCCCTCAGTTTGTTCCCTATAGTTAAGAGACTCTTATGGTTTGCCTCTTACTGTTATCTTATTTTTTCTTTTCCTTCCCCTATGTTCATGTTTTGTTTCTTAAATTCCACATGAATGAAATCACATGGTATTTGTCTTTCTCTGACTTATTTTGCTTAGCATGTTACCTTCTAGTTCTATCCACATCATTGCAAACGGCAAGATTTCATTCTTTTTGATGGCTGAGTAATATTCCAGTGTGTGTGTACACCACATCTTCTTTATCCATTCAACTGTCAACAGACATCTGTATTTTCTTTCCGTATTTCATAATTGTGGACATTGTCACTATAAACATTGGGGTGCATGTGCCCCTTCGAATCACTCTCTTTGTATTCTTTGGATAAATACATCATAGTGTAATTTCTGGGTCACAGAGTAGTTCTAATTTTAAATTTTTGAGGAACCTTCATACTGCTTTCCAGAGTAGCTGCACCAGTTTGCATTCCCACCAACAGTGTAAAGGGTTCCCCTTTCTCCACATCCTCCCCAATATCTGTTGTTTCCTGAGTTGTTAATTTTAGCCATTCTGACCGGTGTGAGGTGGTATCTCATTGTGGTTTTTATTTGTATTTCCCTGATGATGAGTGTTATTGAGCATTTTTTCATGTTTCTGTTGGCCATTTGTATGTTTTCTTTGGAGAAATGTCTGTTCATATCTTTTGCCCATTTCTTGATGGGATTTTTTTCTTTTTTGGGTGTTGAGTTTGACATGTTCTTTATAGATTTTGGGTACTAGCCCTCTATCTGATATGTCATTTGCAAATATCTTCTCCCATTCCACAGGTTGCTTTTTAGTTTTGTTTATTGTTTCCTTATATGGTATGATTCTTACTGAAACTACTGTGAATTAGGTCTCCAAAGTACTACTGACAGAGACCAAGTCTTATTCTGAGTTAATGTGGTATTATTAATTTTGGTAATTATTTATTTCTCTGAAATATCTCAATGCACTTAAAAAGCATGAATATGATTTTCCATACCAACACAAACAACATATATTTAAGGAAGTTGATTACTGTCCCTTACTTTTTCTCTCTCCTTTTAAATGAACGATTGTTTTGCTATTAAGAATAAGAAAGGGGTACCTGGGCAGCTCAGTAGGTTAAGGGTCTTGGTCAACTCAGGTCATGTTCCCAGGATCCTGGGATTGAGCCCCATTTCAGCCTCCCTGCTCAGGGAGTCTGCTTGTCCTTCTTCCTCTGTCCCTCTCCCTGCTCATTCTCTCTTTCTCTTTCTCTCAAATAAATAAATAAATAAATAAAATCTTGGGGAAAAAAAAAAAAAAGAGGAACAAAGACTGGGGACAGAGCAAGTGATATGCGGTCTATTATGGTAAACGTACTATACTATATTTTTACGATTTAAGAAAAAAATTTAACGGTGGTAAAACACATATAACAAAATTTAGCATCTTAACCAGTTTTTTAAATTAAATTTTATGGGGTGCTTGAGTGGCTTAGTTGATTAAGCATCCAACTCTTGGTTTCAGGTCAGGTCATGATCTCAGGGTCATGAGACTGAGCCCTGCATTGGGCTCTGCAGAGCTCATCATGGAGTCTGCTTGAGATTCTCTCTCTTTTCCCTCTGCCCTCAAACAAATAAATCTTTAACAAATTTAATTTTTATTTTAAAAGTGGTCAGAACTCTTAACTTTAGATCTATTCTCTCAACAAATTTTTAAGTGTATAATACAATACTGTTAATTATAGGCACAATGCTGTGTAGCAGATTTCTAGAACTTACTTTGTATAACTGAAACTTCATACCTGTTGTTAGCAACCCCTATTTTGCCCTTCTCTATAGCCCTAGCAACCAATGTTGTGCTCTCTGCTTCTATGAGTTTGACCATTTCAGATACCTCATATAAGTGGTATCATGTAGTATTTGTCCTTCTGTGACTAGCTAATTTATTTACCATAATACATCTTAACCATTTTTAAGGATACAGTTCAGTAATGTTAAGTAGGTATACACTGTTGTAAAACCAATTTCTGGAATTCTTTTCATCCTGCAAAACTGAACTCCATATCCATTAAACAAGTCCAATCTTCTAGCTTTTGGTCTCTATGAATTTGATTAGGTAATTCGTAAGTGGAATCATAAAGTATTTGTCTTTTTAAATTTTTATTTTGACAGAGAGATAGAGAGCAGGGGGAAGGGCAAAGGGAGAAAGGGAGAGAGAATCTTTTTTTTTTTTTAGGATTTTTATTTATTTACTTATTTGAGAGAGAGAGGGAGGATGAGAGAAAGAGAGATCATGAGAGGGGACAGGTCAGAGGGAGAAACAGAGTCCCCACCAAGCAGGGAGCCCGATGTGGGACTCGATCCTGGTACTCCAGTATCACAACCTCAGCCAAAGGCAGTTGCTTAAGCAGCTGAGCCACCCAGGTGCCCAGGAGAGAGAGAATCTAAAGCACATTCCACGCTGAGCATGAAGCCTGATGCAGGGCTCAATCTCATGACCCTGACAGCGTGACCTGAGCTGAAACCAAGAGTCAGACACTTAACCAACAGAACCACCCAGGTGTTATAGGTACTGTAGTAATCAGGGGAGCTCTGTATTTGTCTTTCTGTGATTGGTTCATTTCACCTAGCATAATGTCCTTAAGATTCATCTTTGTTGTACTGTGTGTCAGAACTTCCTTCTTTTTAAGGCCAAATAATATACCATTGATACCACATTTTGTTTATCCATTCATCTGTCAATGGACATTGGTTTCCTTCTACCTTTTGCCTACTGTGAATAATGCTGCTATGACAGGGGTATAAGTCTCTTCCAGACCCTGCTTTCAATTCTTTTGGGTATATACCCACAAGTGAAATTGCTGGATCATATGGTAATTCTATTTTAATTTTTTGAGGAACCACCATACTGTTTTCCATGTGGCTACAACATTTTACTTCTACTAACAGTGTACCAGAGTTCCAATTATTCCACATCCTAGCCAGCACTTGTTATTTTCTGGTTTGTTTGTTTTACAGTAGCCACTGTAATAGGTATGAGGTGATATCTCACTGTGGTTTTGACTTGCAGTCTTCTAATGATTAGTGAGGCTGAGCATCTCTTGAGTATAAGATTATGTTTTTATTTCCCTCATCTTCTTTAACAAGAGCAAACCTTTATACTCACATAAATACCAAATACAAAAAGCAAATGACAGAGAAACAAACAAAATCCACATAGACTTTTACCATGTAAATTCTTAATAACTGCGCATGTCTTACTATAAGAATCAGGAATGTTCATCCTCTCTATTAACACCCTAGCAGACAAAACAAGTGGACTTGAGCTTAATATAGATAATAATACCATCCTAGTACATACTGAAACTAACAGAGACTATTATATTTCTTTAACAAAAAAAAATAAATAAATAAAAAAGGGGGCGCCTGGGTGGTTCAGTGGGTTAAAGCCACTGCCTTCAGCTCAGGTCATGATCCCAGGGTCCTGGGATCGAGCCCCGCATCGGGCTCTCTGCTCAGCGGGGAGCCTGCTTCCTCCTCTCTCTCTGCCTGCCTCTCTGCCTACCTGTGATCTCTGTCTGTCAAATGAATAAATAAAATCTTAAAAAAAAAATTAAATAAATAAATAAATAAATAAATAAATAAATAAAAAGGAAAGAGGGATGCCTGGATGGCTCAGTGGCAAGAAAGGCTAGAAAAGTAAACTTGGCTTAAAAATCAAGAATGCCAGCTTACTCAAAAGTTTGGATTTTAATCTGACAGCCACTGAATACTTACTTGTACACATTCAACTAGAAATCATTTATGATGTTCTCTTCATATAGCTAATAAAGTTCCTATTAAAATTATCATCAAAAATAGTCATCCATAAAGCATTTGCACTAGAGACTTACCTGAACTGTTTCATTCCCACCTCTAAGGTCCTGAAGAGGACTCCTTGGGGGCTTCAAGATCTAGAAAAATTAGAATTATTCAAGAAAATATGGGATTAATATTAATAATCAGTTCAAATTGCACCATAGGAGAAAGGTAGAAATGTTAAAATTTCTGTGAAAACCTTTAAAACTCCTCAAATTCATATTGTTCAGTGCTATACTTTGTGGTTGGTTTAAATATCTGGCATCTATTCCCTTCTCCCTGCCCACCTTCCTGATTATTTTACCCACTCTCATCCCATGTGTTCTGGGTGATGCTCCACCCCAACCCTAGGGCACAACATGTAGCCCTGGTCTAATAATGTGCACATGATATTCTCTCATCAATAGTGAGTAGTTCAGGAAGGAGGACTTGACCCATAACAAGACAGTTGAGCCAATATGAGTCAATTCTAAGTCCTTTGTTTTTGTTTTATCTTGAGGAAATAGACACTTTTTCATTTAGGAGTTGAAACTGGAACTTGGGAGAGCTAGAGGTACTGTAGTAATCAGGGGAGAGGCTTGTACAAAAATGGAGATAACCCAGAGGAACCAGTCAGAGTAGAAAAGTGAGAGAAAATCCTAACATTGGTGATATTATTGCAACCCATGGTCAGTTACGTTATGCCAAAAGTCATCTCTATCTTTGGATTTTTCAATTTCAAAACCCAATAAATTTTGTGCTTAAATCAGTTTGGGTTGGATTTTTTGTGTCTTGCTCCACTATTTAAATATATTCTTAAACTTATTAAAGTATCATTTACATGGCATACAATTCATAAAATTACCATGAAACTCATAAAATACAAATTTTAGTATATTTATAGAATTGTGTAACCAGGTAAATATTTGAGTATCCAGAGATCAACAGAAGCCAATGGGAGTAGGATGGTGATGTTACAGTCAAAATTACTGCGACATACATTCATCATTCAATAAAAAGTAATAATTATGAACTCAAGTGTTTCTTACCGAAGAATGTCGTCTTCTAACAGGTCTGTCCATATTGTCACTGCAAATTTATAGACACATTAGTAAAAGACTGAATTTTCAAAAGCCATCATCGCAGCATCTTTTACATGCTTTTAAATTGGCTATTGCTTTCACTTAACACATGGCATCACTGTTTCTTAGCAAAATTTATAAGACATAAAAGTTGGTATTTAGAAGGTCAGTGTTTTAAAATACATATTTTATACTCTAAGAATATCTCTTGTAAAACAATCAGCACAATATAATGTATCATACTTACAGAGGTACAATTTTAAGATAAGTGGATCATAAATCAAGAGACTCTAACTCTGGTTTTACTACTGTGTGAGTTTGAAATGAGGTTTTGAAAATTCAAGTACTTATGGAGGCCAAACAGAAGATGCAAGAAAAATATGTGGTGTTGAGATGATAATGGACACTTCGGGGTTGGTCTAATGGTCATAGTCTTACTCCGATCAGGTTAGCTGTTGCCACAAGAATATGAGCCCAGTGTCACTACACTTAATTTTTCTTTTTCTTTCTTCTCCTTTTTCTTTAAGGATTTTATTTATTTATTTTAGAAATAGAGAGAGAGCTTGCACAAGCAGGGGACGGAGCAGAGGGATAGAGAGAGAATCTCAACAGAGCTTCATGTGGGGCTCAATCACGTGACCCAGAGATCATGCCCTGAGCCAAAAATCAAGAGTTGGATGCTCAACCAACTGAGCCACCTAGGTGCCCCTACACTCAGTTTTTCAAGAGAAAATTTTAGCAGCTAATTAAATAATTTAAAAACACTGTTTGGCAGCGGGGGGTAAGTCTGTAGACTATAAACAGGCCACCAGTTTGTGATGCCAATTTTAGACCAATCATTTCATTTCCTTGGGCCTTAATTTTCCCATCCTTAAATTGAAGGGATGGGAGGTGGTCTCTAAAGTCCTTCTTAGTTCTGACTCTAGATATATAAACACAAAGATATGGCAAAGAGAGCTATGACTTTGTGACACTTACTTCTTTTCCATAGAACAGAATGGAAAAAAATTTCATAAGTTATCAATAGGTGTTTCTAATAGGAAAAGTGTCTTTCTCTGATAAAAAGTTTAACATTTTTAGCTATATTACGTGAACTTACTTTTCTTCATTAGCCTCTGAAGACATCCCATCCATTTTTGAAGAAAACCTTTTTCTGTAACAAATACACAACATTAGAAAAGATGAGAAAGAAAGAAAAGAAATTAAAAACTATGAAGACATTAATAGCAAATTTGTAACTTCAGGATTACTTTTTGGGGGAAGACTGAAAAAGGGGAAGAAAAAGCTACACTATGGGGCTATAATACATAAGAAATTTTGAGTTTAAAATACTCCATTATAATTAATACTCCTGGAAAATTCTCATATTCAAGATAAAATCAGTGACTAACTGATTCAGATGACAATGGCTCTAATGGTTCAAATGAAAACTTGGCCTAGTTTATAAGAATTTATGGATTATATAATATTATATAAGATTATAAGGTGAAATCAACTAGTTATCAAAATACACTGGATGTGCATAATATACATATTTATGTTATGAAAATTCAACTATAAGTACTCAGCAAAAAAACTTTCAGACATAAAAATAACATTAAAGAAACTGTAGCTGAATGTGAGAGTCCAAGATAGTGAAGGAGTAGGAGACCTTAATTTCCTCTGGTTCCAGGAATTCAGCTAGATAACTATCGAATCATTCTGAATACCAGCAAACTCAACCAGAGATCGAAGAAAAGAATAGCAACAACTCTATGAATAGAAAGGCAACCACTTTCTGCAAGGTAGGAGGTGCAGAGACATGAATCCAAGGCAATATATGAGAGGACAGACCGAGGTGGGAGCAGGAGTGAGCCTCGGTCAGCCGGCTACTGGCAAGTGATATAGCAGCAAAGCACAAAATCATAACTTTTAGAAGTCTGCTCCAGTGAGGGACGTCGCTTAGGCTGCTAAGCGGGGATGGAACCCTGGCTAGGACAGTGTGGTCTCAGGATCCTCAGGGACACAGGAAGACCCAGGGTGCCTGAGTGTGGCAGAGCTCCCCATGATTCAAAGCAGGGAAGCTGGCTGCAATCAGTGAGTCAAGGAGTGGGCTCTCAGCTCGAGGTTGCCATGAACCAGGATCCAGTCAGGCTGGATCCCTCTTCAAGCAGGGCCCCAACAAGTGTTAGAACTGGGGAGACCTACCCCCTCCTCCCATGGGAGGAACACCGTGGGAGTGTGTTGCAGGAGTCTGATGGTTTAAAGACTGCAAATGGGGCCTACTGCCTGAGACAGAAACACTCGGTCACAGGCTGGGTGAGCATGGAGTGCGGCCAGAGACCAGGGAGACAGGAGTGATTGACTGGTTTTCTCTGAGGGCATACTGAAGAGTGGGGCCCAAGTCTTTGGCTCTTGGGCTGGAGATTAGGAGGTCGCCCTTTTCATTTCCATCCTCTAAAGCTGCACAGAAAGCCTTTAGGGAACAAAAGCCAGAGAGAGCAAAACGGAGCAGATTACTTAGCCTGGCCCCTGCCAAGGGCAGTACAATTCTGCCTGGGCAAAGACACTTGAGAATCAATGCAACAAGCCCCTCTCCCAAAATATCAGCAAGAACATCCAGCCAAGACCAAGTTTACTGATCAATGAGAACTGCAAAATACCAGTGCTAGGGGAATACAGCACATAGAAGTCATGGCTTTTTCCCCACGATTCTTTAGTTTTTCAACTTTAATTTTTTAAATCTTTTTTCTTTTTTTACAAATTTTTCTTCTTTTTTCAACCAATTTTTAAATCAACTCCTTTTTTTTTTTTTAAAGATTTTATTTATTTATTTGACAGAGAGAGATCACAAGTAGGCAGAGAGAGAGGCAGAGAGAGAGGGGGAAGCAGGCTCCCTATGAGCAGAGAGCCCGATGCGGGACTCGATCCCAGAACCCTGAGATCATGACCCGAGCCGAAGGCAGAGGCTTAACCCACTGAGCCACCCAGGCGTCCCGAAATCAACTCCTTTTTAAAATCTTTTTTAATTTTCATTTTTACAGTCACATGCTATCCCTTCATTGTAGTTCATTACACACACACACACACACACACACACACGTGTACTAGTTTTCTTTAAAATTTTGAGATGCAATTTCTTCTAACAGACAAAAATACACCGAAAATCTATTGTATGGCTCTGTTCTATTCACCTATTTAATCATATCCTCTCTTTTTTCTTCTTCTTTTGTTTTGTTAAAAAGTCTTTTTAAATTTCCATCTTTACAGTTACATTCTATTCTTTCAATGTATTTCATTTTATTTTTCTATATGTAAGCTTTCTTTACAATTTTGAGATGTAGCTTCCTCTAACAAACCTACCAAAATAAACTCAGGAGCTAGTGTATTGCTCTGTTCTGTTTACCTGTTTATATCCCTTCCTTCTTGTTATTGTTTTTCATCGCTTTTGTTTTTTTCTTTTTAATTTCCATTTTTACAGTTATATTCTATCCTTTCATTGTATTTTATTTTTGTACATATATAAGTTTATCTTTCTTTGCAATTTTGGGATCTAATTTTCTAAAAAAAACAAACAAACCAAAGTACACACAGAATCCAGTGTATTGCTCTATTCTGCTTACCTGTCCGATTATATTACCCCCCCCCTTTTTTCCCCTAGTTCCAGGTCTCTTCTGATTTGTTTAGAGTACACTTCTCTAGGATTGTTGTTGCCATTATTAGTATTTTGTTCTTTTGTTCATCTATTCTTCTCTGGACAGAATGAGAAGATGGAAAACTCACCTCAAAAAAAAAAAGAGATCAAGAGGCAGTACTGACTGCCAGGGATCTAATTGATATGGACATTAGTAAGATATCAGAACTAGAGTTCATAATAACGATTATAAAGATACTAGCTGGCCTTGAAAAAAAGCACAGAAAACACTAGAGAATCCCTTTCAGGAGAAATAAAAGAATTAAAATCTAACCAAGTTGAAATTAAAAAAATGTTATTACTGAGAAGCAATAAAAAATGGAGGCTCTAGGGGCGCCTGGGTGGCTCAGTGGGTTAAGCCTCTGCCTTCAGCTCAGGTCATGATCTCAGGGTCCTGGGATCGAGCTCCTCATCAGGTTCTCTGCTCAGCAGAGAGCCTGCTTCCCCTTCTCTCTCTGCCTGCCTCTCTGCCTACTTATGATCTCTGTCAAATAAATAAAATCTTAAAAAAAAAAAAAAAATGGAGGCTCTAATGGCCAGGATAAATGAGGCAGAAGAGAGAGTAAGTGATATAGAAGACCAAACAATGGATAATAACAAAGCTGAGGAAAAAAGGATAAACAGCTACTGGAACAGGAGGGGAGAATTTGAGAGATAAATGATACCATAAAGCAAAACAGTATTAGAGTAACTGGGATCCCAGAACAGGAAAGAGAGAGTGGGGCAGAATGTATATTGGAGCAAATCATAGCTGCGAACGTCCCTAATCAGGGAAGGAAACAGGCATTCAAATCCAGGAGGCACAGAGAACCCCACTCAAAATCAATAAAAATAGAGCAACCCCTGGACATATAATAGTGAAGCTTGCAAACTTCAGAGACAAAGAGAAAATCCTGAAAGCAGCTCGGACCAAGAGGTTTGTAACCTGTAAGGGTAGAAACATTAAATTGGCAGCAGACCTATCCAGGGAGACATGGCAGGCCAGAAAGGACTGGCATGATATATTCAGGGTGCTAAATGAGAAAAATATGCAGCCAAGAATACTTTATCCAGCTAAGCTATCATTTAAAATAGAAGGAGTGATAAAAAAACTTCCAGGACAAACAGAAACTAAAAGAACTTGTGATCACCAAACCAGCCCTATAAGAAGTACTGAAAGGGGTCCTCTAAGCAAAGAGAGAGCCCAAACTAACATAGACCAGAAAGGAACAGAGAAGAGTATAGAGTAACAGTCACCTTACAGGCAATAAATACAATGGCATTAAATTCCTATCTTTCAATAGTTACCCTGAAAGTAAATGGGCTAAATGCCCTAATCAAAAGACACAGGGTATCAAATTAGATTAAAAAAAAAAAAAAAAAAAAGCAAGACCCACTGATGTGTTGTCTGCAAGAGACTCATTTTAGACCCCAAAATTCTTCCAGATTGAAAATGAGAGGGTAGAAAATAGTTTATCATGCTAATGGACATCAAAAGAAAGCTGGGAGGTAATCCTTAGACAAATTCGATTTTTTTTTAAAGATTTTATTTATTTGACAGACAGAGATCACAAGTAGGCAGAGAGAGAGGAGGAAGCAGGCACCCCGCTGAGCAGAGAGCCCGATGTGGGGCTTGATCCCAGGACCCTGGAATCATGACCTGAGCTGAAGGCAGAGGCTTTAACCCACTGAGCCACACAGGCGCCCCGACAAATTCGATTTTTACCAAAGACTGTGATAAGAGATGAGGAAGGATACTATATCATAATTAAAGGGTCTATCCAACAAGAAGATCTAAGAATTGTAAGTATTTATGCCCCTACCATGGGTGCAGCCAATTATATAACCCAATTAATAACAAAATCAAAGAAACACATCAATAAAAACACAATAATATTAGGGGAGGTTAACACCCCCATCACTGAAATGGACAGATCATCTAAGCAGAAGATCAACAAGGAAATAAGGGCTATGGATGGACTTCACTGATACATTCAGAACATTCCATCCCAAAGCAACAGAATACACATTCTTCTTGAGTGCACATGGAACATTCTCCAGAATAGATCACATCCTGGGTCACAAATCAGGGTCTCAACCAGTATCAAAAGATTGGGATCATCACATACACAGAGGCTAAAGAGCATCCTACTAAAGAATGAATGGGTCAACCAAGAAATTTAATAAGAATTTTTTTAAAAATTTATGGAAACAAATGAAAATGAAAACACAACTGTTCAAAATCTTTGGGATCCAGCAAAGGTGGTCCTAAGAGGGAAGTATTCAGCACTACAAGCTTTTCTCAAGAAACAAGAAAAGTCTCAAATATACAACCTAACCCTACACTTAAAGGAGCTGGAGAAAGAACAACAATAAAGCTGAAACCCAGGAGAAAAGAAATAATAAAGATTAGAGCAGAAATCAATGAAATAAAAACCATAAAAAAAAAGAAATAAAAACCATAAGAACAGTAGAAAAGATCTATGAAATTAGGAGCTGGT